ATATATATATATATATATATATGAAACCAGATGACGCAAAGGCACTTGCAACAGATTTGTGACAAATGCTATATAGAAAATTACAAACCTCAGTCTGGCTCTGAGAGGGAAGACATACACAGTGAAGGAGTAGGTTCTTGAGTTGGCACTTGATGTATAGATAGAATTTCAACAAGTAGAAATGGAGAGAAGACTTGTGATATTGAGGAAAAAGCCTGGGATAAGAAACAAGGATGGAGAATTCAAGAACAGTGAAGAGTCTGGCTTGAGATTGGAGAAAAGGGAAGGCTGGAGACCAGGCCCTAGAACACTGCTCGAGGATTTTAGACTTTGTCTGTGAGAAAACCAGGAGCCCATCATGGTGAGGGAGCGAGGGTCGCACAGTCAGGACTGTGCATGCAGCCGCTGTTTGCAGGAACAACCTCTGCTTCTGAATGCAACAACTTCTCTCTGATGTCCCCCACAGGCGAGCTCACTCCAGTCCACCCATCTGAACCGCTCCTGGGTGAGGCGCGAAGTTTACAACAGTTCAGAGACTTCCTGTCTTAATCATAGAGTAGAATTTGCAACAGAGGCTCCAAGACATGGCATATGGAACCCAGGCAAAAGTGCCAGACTTGGGTGTTCATGCTGTGTCATCCTGCAGCTCTTTCTTGGTTGCCAGTTAACTCAGTCTCGAGGATTGGTCTTCTACTTTAGATAGATTATTTTAGCTCTGACTTTTCATTCTGCTTAATATAGCTGTCTCTTTCTAGGATGACTCCCTGTCTTGAACACCAGCCTATACGCCTGAGGCAGTGGTGCTGGGGCCTCGGTTTGCTCTGCAGACTGTGCCTTGCCCTTCTGCACCCCTACAGAGTCAGCTTTTGAAACTCCTTCAGTCCCCAGCTCCATCTCCATTCTCCCTCTGCCCTTCAGTCTTATGTCCCCTCCATACACCTCTGCTTCCCCTTCTGCCCCAAGCTGCTTCCTACAAACCACACTGAGGTGTGAAAAATTGGTACAGAGGAGGTCTGAGGAGGAAAGATGGTACACAGAACTCAGAGACTGATGCAGTTTAGGGGCAGTGGTCCTGAACGAGGCTGGTAGAAGTAGGCATTAAAAGAAAGCCACGTGAGCACGAGATTCCCAGTGTAAACGTGAAAGGCTTAGAAACCGAGAGGAGAATAAGAGAGAAAGAAAAAAAAAGACTAAAAGTAACACTGAGTGTGAATTTATCTCTTGTCCCCACAATCTCACTTCTAATGATTTATCCTGAAGATACACCTCCAAAAATATGAAAATACATGTGCACCAGTTCATTCTGTGCATTTTTTATAATCCCAAAATATTGGAAACTGCCTAAATGCCCAAGAATAGGAGACTGACAGAATACACTATGTCACCTGCCCAGAACTGAGTGTGAAGTATCTGAAAAAAAGAATGAGAAACATTTTCATGTACTAATATGAAGTGAATCCCAGGAGGTGTGGTTGAGCAGCAAAAACAGAGTTCCAAAGAGCACATACAGCATGGCTACTTTCTGCATAGGAAAAAAGAAAAACGACATACGTAGCAATAGCTCACACCCTTGGATCTATGTAAGAATTTCCCAGAGAACTTGAAAAGCCCACTACATCCATATGATACCCCCAAGCAACTGAATCAGAGCCTCTGGGGCAGGAGGATTGTCAAGTTCAACCAGGACTGATAAAAAACTGACTTTGAGGCTCCATGGGCCCAACTGTTAAAAGAATATTTAATTACAGTAACACTGGCTAAACACCATTGAAACCAAAACCATAGTTGTTTTCATTTTACATGATTTTGGTAGTTAATTTTAATAGCTCCTCTGTAAATTTCTAAGAAATCTTTTTAAATGACTTCTATGAGATAACAAAATGATTTAGTCAAAAATCTTGCAGTCAGTATATTCTTCAATGGATCTCACATCCAGGGCATTGAAACCTTCGTCAAATTTGAAAAGTTTGGTTCTATTTGATGCTAAGGTATCAACTCAAAGCACGCTTGATCTGTAACAGAAAATAATTAAGTTGCTTTGTATCAATCCCTTTTAAAATAGTTATGCCAGCATTCAAAATCATGACTCACAATTTATATCAAATGTTGTTAGCGGATTGTTTCCAGTGAACACCCTGCTTGAAGAAGGAGGCACTTGGAACAGCTGGAGAGTATCAAACTTGCCAGTCTCGGCAAGAAGACAATTTTTTCCCTGTTGATTTATCTGAATTTCATTTCTAAAAAATACACTCAAAAGTAGTCTCGCTCCGAGGTTCAACATCTCTCGATGCCTCCGTATTTCCACTAAGAACTCACATTTGATTATTTCATTTAAAAACTCTGTAGGCTAGAACTCTTACCTGCATTAGAGCAGATGACATCTTGAGAATTCTTGCACATCTGGTTACTTTTTTTCCTGGTTAGGTCACAGTGAGTTGGGTACTGACAAGCGTCCCCGGACCATCCTTCATCACATTTGCACTTGCCACAGTCACACTTCCCATGGCCTGAGAATTTAACAACATCTGGTTACTTTGTTTTCCAAAGGAACCCATGATGGTAATCAAGAGTCTTAGGAGGGATGTTGGTTCAGGACTGAGCAATAATAAATTCAAACACAAGTATATGACTGTGGCTGAGGGGTTATTCTATTTATAAACAGGATAATGACATATGTGAATTTTATTTCAACAACCAACTTTGATAAGTCATTCTAAAAATATTAAATTAACTCATAGAGACATTAGGATAGATAGATAAAACAGAAGTCTAGTAAACCACATAATCAAAAAACAGCATGAAAAAACATCCACCAAGCACCTACACATTCAAAACACAAAAGCCTAATAAAAATAATTTCCATTTAACTGTATTTTACAACACATAAAACCACCAACTCTGAGTAAGGAATCTTACAGGAAATCCCACTAAACATTGCCCTTATACTTATCTGAATTTGATATGTAATAACATTTTATAGATATATTAGATACCACCTTGGAATAAGATTGAGATGAAAAGTAAATATATATTCTGTTTCTTGATGGGGAAATCTGGTTCAAGAATCAATAAGAGTCATATTCATCTACCGCCACAGAAATTTCTCAATCTTTCATGCTCTGAAATCAACATTTTGCTGTTCTGATTGCTGTGGTCATTAACTGTATTAAGCCCTGCTGGAAGAAGCCTTCTAACATTTTCATTGACTACGTATTAGACAGAAGTGCAAAACAGATACAATCCTCAGTCTCTGTCCTCAAGGAACTTAGGAACTGCAAAGCCAAGGCTAATATGCAAAGAGGATTGTGCTGTCTTCAGCCAGAAATGTTTGTTTGATCTTGTATTAAGTTGAGGGATATAGTCAATGACCGATAGAAATAAGAGGGGACAGATTTTCTGGACTTCTTTGACCTTTAACTGGGACTTGAAAAATGAGCAGAGTTTGAATGGGTTGCAGGGAGAATAATCTTATGTTATTCAAGATAACAGTACTACGTCTTAATGCCTGAAATTCATAGATCACAGTGGAGTGGAATCACTGATCTGGGGCCAACGGTCATTCCATGTGACAGCCAAATTCACATGATGAAGTCCAGATGGTCGGTCAGAACGGATGCCATTTGGGCAGATTCGGCAGTGTCCGAATCTGTGATTGGCTGTGACTTTAAAACTCCTCTGCATGTGGCCTGGTCCATGAAGTGCTTCTATTCCTGTTATATTTTTCAAATTAATTATTCCATTTTACAAACAAAACCTCGCGTGCACCCTAATTGCAATTCATTTTATCAAGTGCACATTACTCTGTTAAACTGATTGCATCATTTTGTATTCCTGTCTGGTCCTGCGTGATACTGTCAATCTCAGCCAACTGGGTATCACTTACAAGCATAAGTGAGCTCTCCTGCCAACCACCCAGTCTATTTATAAAAGTATTAAGCCACATTCTTGAAGTGGCTAAGCTTCTTTTGGTGAATTAAGTATCTCGGTAACTGTAA